AAATTGATCTACATTTATTGCTATTTACGGAAATCGTTGACTCAGGATAGCCAATCATTTAACTGTCCCTGCTGAATAAAACTGGTCGTAAATGTAGAAAGTGGTAACTGATAAAAGCGATGATCTACTACTATTTTAAAGTTTTATCTAAACCTGGTATTACTAATAAATATATGTTTGCTTAATTTGAACAGTTGGTGACAAGAGTTATTTAAATTTATTATTGGGGTTAACGATCTTTAATTAAGACCCTTTCCACTTACTATATTATATAGGAATTCGTCAGTTGGTTGCCTGCAGTATGCTTCAATAAACGTAACATTTTTTATCTTCTAAGTCTGTTAAGATCTTTTAGATTTTTTTTTGCACAACGAATGATGGTATTACTTCTTAAGTTATAGATGGTTTTTGGTTTCGATTATTTTTATTAGTGCAACATTATGTTTTTAAAAAGTTAGGTCAGACGATCTTTTTCTAATGAAATTTTTTATAAATAAGAGACAACTATCTTATGCGAAATGAAATGAAGCTACTAGATGATCATGAGGAATGATGATATTGATATATAATATACAAATGCAACCATTTTGTGACACCCTGAGTTTCCCGTTTTGTAACAAATTTCCAAAAGCAAAAGCTAAAATGTTGCAATAGGGTAGCACAAATTTGAAAGCATTTTGTTTTTGTAATTGTTCTAATTACGAACTTAGACGATACCATAATGGCCGAAGTATTTTCTGAAGACCTAGTTGCAAGTTCTGAAACCTTAGTTGAAGATTTTAAAAACTTATATGAGTTCAAGGAACGTTATGATACAATCATCACTGTTGGAGACGAACAAAACGCTGAGCAAATTTATGCCCATTCTTAAATTCTTTGTGCTAGATCATCTTACTTTCGTAGAGCATTATCCAATGAATGGGCTGTAAAAAAAAATGGATGCTTTGTTTTATCAAACCCTAAAACAAATGCATTAATTTTTAACATTATTATAAAGTATGTTGTATATTAAAATTTTATAACAGACAATTTAGGATTCTAATTATATATTATATGTTATTTAAATAGGTTTTTGTACTGTGGAATAGTAGATTTGAATGGCCAGAACGATGAAACAATCTTAGGGCTTCTAATAACTGCAGATGAACTTTTAATTCAAAGTCTTATTGACATCGTTCAGAGTCTCATAATCCAAAATTATTATATGTTCTTACAACGAAGTTCTATTAGGATGCTTCATTTTATTGCCCATTATAAACAATTCAATGAACTTAATGAAGCTTATTTGGAGACCATTTGCAAAAATCCTTCCTTACTATTTGATTCAGATGAATTTGTTTCTTTAGAGGAAAATGCACTAAAATTAATTCTTGAATGTGATAACCTCGATATGAAAGAAAGTATTATCTGGAAAAAACTAGTTCAATGGGGAAAAGCACAACATGAACGTAACATGATGTATATTGACAATAAGAATAATGACACCAATAATAATGATGTTAATATATTAAAAGAGAAATTACATGAATTAACTAAACTCATTAGATTTTATCAAATAGATCCTAAGAAGTTTGTTCCTGAAGTGTGGGAATATATGGACATTCTTCTTAAAGATTTAATTAAAGATGTAGTACACTGTCATTTAGATTCAGATGCTAAACCATCATACAAAACATTTTTGATCAGATGGGGCAATTTTAGAATTAACTCAGAATTAATCAACAAAGAGATTGTACTATTATTGATTAAATGGATAGATGGAAAAACTACAGATGATAATACCTCAAAAGGATTTCATTACAAATTTAATCTACTTTTTAGAAGCAACTTAGACGGTCACGCATCACAAGCATTTCATCGAAGATGTGATAACAAGGGGCAACAATTGTTGTTGGAAGAATTGCAAACTCAAGTCGTCTTATTGGAGGTTACAATCTACTTGATTGGAATGGAGATAATGTATGGAAACAAACAAGAAATAGCTTCATATTTTTATTAGATACAAATAACCTCAAAAAAGCAATGTTATCACGCGTTAATCATAATCTTAGTGATTGTGCTATTGGTTGCGACGGTGCTCATGGTCCAAGTTTTGGAGAAGGTCCTGATTTACACATTTCAAATAACAAGACTATCTGAGAATTTAAATCAAAGACCTATCCTCTATTAGTAAACATAACTTCACTTGCAGTCTCAGATTATAAAGTTCTTCAAGTAGCTAAAATCGTAAATAGTTAATAATTTTGAGTTTTTATTCAAGATTAAGTATAAAAATATAAACCTAAATGAAATATAGTAATAAAATATTATATATACTGTATATATATTTTAAAAGTGACCTCTTGGTCTTGTAATCTTTATTGATGAACTGTATTAATATATTACATACTGTATTTCTCTGAACACTATTGCAACATTTTTAGGGTAATTACAGGATTTAGAATAGAGATGGTTAGTCCGGTCCAGTCCGTCCGATCCTAATAAGACCGGTTCATTAACGGTTTTTGGTCTGGTCTTAGTACCAAAAGTGGTCCTGACCTCTAACTATCCTATTGGCTGACAGAGAGAATTAAATCATATAATATCGGTAATTGAAATAGGTGATTGTCTAAAATAATTTTTTAGTATTTTTACTATTATCATAATTTCTAATAAAAATTGTTTGAATGATTTTTCGACCAATCCGATTAAGTTATTATCTCGGCATAATAGATTCACAAAATTGTATATATGCATGTACGTACAGTATATAACTTTTACATTAAAAGTACTGACTATTGCACCAGCATTACAAAAGTTTTGTCAGCATTATTAGACTATATGAGCTAGCTCTATGAGAATTTTGCCAGCATTATTTATGTAACAAAATTATATATATATGAAATTATCATATGCTTTACTTTTTGAAATTTAAATTATGGTTTTTTAGAGTTTGATTTTTTTAAATTTTAAAAACAAATAACCTTTATAAGTTTTTAAAAAATAATTTTATTAGCATCATAATCACTTCTTTATTATTCTAATAAATCTAAAATTATCTAAATTCAATTACAGGATCAAAAAATAAAGCTTGGTCAAATAAGTATACTTAGACAATTGGGGGTTTTTTTTATAAGGTGTCCTTCAGGACTAAGCTTTTATTGATGTTAGTTATTGATCACATAAATCTATATTTTTAGTATTACAATGAGAAACCCCTAGTTATACATATCCACCAATTAATTTAAACTAAATACCTTTATACCAAACTGCTCCCTACTATCTTATCTAAACTTGGTTACCTCAAGTTACCTCTGAGTCTCTACAAGCAGGCATAGTAGCTGCTCTTAATTCTTTTATATCTCATATATTTTTAAATTAGATTAAGAGAATCTATCTGCTATGGCTGAAACTAATACTAGCAGTTAGAGCTAACCATTAAACTACACAATTCTTGGTTTCCTCTGCCTTTATAGAGTTTACCCAAACTTCAGTACTTACTTCACAGATTATCGCCAGTATCTAAGTTCTGTCAGTAACCCAAATTACCAAACCAGATAGCTCAGAAGGGCTGTAGCCTGCCTCTGATCTTCACAGTTGGGTTCTTTTCTTCTAGTTACTTATCTGGCAGCCTAGTTGGTATAGTGTCTTTGCCAATCACTCAGTCTTCATCAAATCACTAAAATTAGTATTCAGATTTCTTAGATAATCTTTTACATAGTACCATAGAAGATTTGTGTTACCTTTCTACTTGGAACTTGCTAAGCAGACTTTTGTATATCTCAATTCCTGAATTTATATGATGTATAACTTGTATATTATATAGCCTCCTAGTACAAGCTGATATGATCAAAGTTACAGGTGTTAATCCATCAGATTACACACAGTCTGCTATAACACATTTCTTAAATTTGAATTTTCATCACTAGTGAGATTTGAACTCTTGTCCTGCTGTTTGGGATATAACAACTTATCAACTTTACTAAGTTGTCACACCCTTTCTTAAACAATTAGTTTTTTTTTTTAATGTTAAGGTGACCACTTTGGGGTCTGGCACATTTTATTAAACTTTGGATCGAATGCCAGGGCAG